ACAGCTGGTATGTCGAAGTGTGTGTGTTTAGCAGCAGGTTTGAAAATTGGTTGAACAGGCTTAATGTAGCAGGTTCTATTCTTCAACAGATGAATGCGTAATACATAAGAGATTAAAGTAAAATGTGTATGGGGAATGAAAGCAATAATTATGAACAGTTACGGAAAATGTGTCACTCTTGAGATTTCAAGCAATCAGCTATGTTATGACATTTCCCACAGTTCACTCAGTGCAGAAGTGACACATCAAACATAGTTTGGAACAAGTTGTCTCTCATTTTGTTTCTCGATAAAAGCTTGCCAGCCAGTGACTAGGCAGAAGATTACATGGCTAAATTCAGATACCTTCCTATCAGTTGCTGAATCTTATTGTTTAAGCAATATTCTTGGTTTCTCCTGTGGATTTGCTTTTTATCACATCCTTCCTGCTGGCTAGGAGATTCCACCCATTCCAAAATAAGCTCACCTGTCCCATTTTACATGCATACCTTTGTAGCTTTCCATGGAAATGCCTGCAGGGCATCATGTTCTAGGAAACTCTTCAGTTGCAATCTCTCTGATTTCATAAGACTTCTTAATTAAAAAAAAAAAAGCAAACTCTTCTCAGCACTGTGGGTTGTGGGAAATAGATTGAGCTGTTCGACACGGCCTGTCAAGTTTGGAAATGTAGGTCTTCTCTTCCAGCCTATGAAATGCAAACGTGACCAAAGCCTTGTTAACAATTTTTAAAGGCAAAGTAAGCATAACCTAGGGACGCGGGTGGCGCTGTGGGTAAAAGCCTCAGCGCCTAGGGCTTGCCGATCGAAAGGTTTGAATCCCCGCGGCGGGGTGCACTCCCGTCGTTCGGTCCCAGCACCTGCCAACCTAGCAATTCGAAAGCACCCCCGGGTGCAAGTAGATAAATAGGGACCGCTTACAAGCGGGAAGGTAAACGGCGTTTCCGTGTGCTGCGCTGGCTCGCCAGATGCAGCTTGTCACGCTGGCCACGTGACCCGGAAGTGTCTCCGGACAGCGCTGGCCCCCGGCCTCTTGAGTGAGATGGGCGCACAACCCTAGAGTCTGGCAAGACTGGCCCGTACGGGCAGGGGTACCTTTACCTTTTTAAGCATAACCTGTTTTAAGTTTGCAGGGTATATGGAAAGCTTGCCTACAATTCTGAAATGAAGGGGTAGTTGTCAAGCCCCACACTGGACAAAAGGTTCTTGCATTACAGGGGTCCCTCGGGGTCCCTTCTGATTCCAAGATTCTATGAATATCTGGAAAGTGGCAGATTGGAAAAGGCTCAGTTGACATTGTTCCATTTGATTGACTGGTTTTGGTTGTATGTTCCTTGGAGGAAGGATGACTTTCCTGGAATTAGTGAGAATCAGCCCCTCATAGCTTCTGCTTCTCAACTATTTCTTTATTTGTAAGATTTATATGACCTGTGCCTCGTCACATGTGATCTTAGGGTGGGTCACAACAAACAGCATAAGCAGGTAAAACAAAAATGCTGTTTAAAATGAAAATCCACAAAATATTGCAACAACTCCGTCTTGAACACACAGTTACCCAAAGGCCTGCTGGAAAAGAAATGCCTTCCACAAGTAAATATAAGTTGGGCTTCTTCTTATTCCTGTGTTTAAAAGATTAAGAGAAAAATTCTGTTGCAACACACACTGCTTTCTTTTTGGTTTGTAGCTGCACTTCTCTCCCCCCCCCCACTTCGTTGCATTCTTTTAAGGGTTCATCCTATACTTAGAAGGTTGTCCCTGAAAGAGAAACAAGCTTCATATTTTCACAGTATATGGCGTTACAACACATTCATCAGGAGCAGTTCATGTGATGCTCTTTTGATCACTTCTGTAGGTCAGAGTGGCATCTGCCTGTTCTAAAAAAATACCCTTCCGAGCTCTCACTTCCAGTTCTCAAACCATATCTTCCAGAGTTAGAATAAAGAATTGCTCCTGCATCCTAACACATGCTTTTCTGTGTTGAAGTACCGTAATTTTCGCTCCAAAACACACACTTTTTTGCTCCTAGAAAGTAAGGGAAAATGCCTGTGCGTGTTACGGAGCCGGGGAGGAGGGAGGGAAGGAAGGAGAGCCATGGCAGCAAAGCGGACACGGGAGGAGGGACAGACACTAGCAAAGGTCTGCGCTCTCTCTAAACAGAGCAATGAGGCTGCAGAGGGACGGCAGGAAATATAAAATTTAAGCAATCAGCAGCAAAATAAAACCAACCTCGAGCTCTGAGCCACGAGCGCAGTGAAAACAGATTCGAGCATTGTCTGGGTCCTAGTGCCCCTACCGCTTTTTTGTGCTCCATTCTATTGCTGCTGGTGGCTGCTTATCACTCAGGCTGCAAGGAGGAGCGCTTTTACACAGCTAATGGCGAATCCCCTGCAATCCAAGTCCTCCTCACTTGCCCAAATCTATTCTGCCTCAAAACAAGGAGCGGAAGGAAAAGGCTGCAAACTGTTAAATGGAAAAAAACCCAGGCACAGGGCAAATACCTTAAGTATACCTTTAAAGCAACAGTGCTCTTTCCCTCCCTCCTCCCCGCTCAGCTCACCAAAAAGCTCCTTCTCCACACACCCCACGCTGCTCCTTGTCCCTTGAGTGCTTTTCCTTCCCTCCCCACTTAAAACGTGGTTACAAAGCATGGATCCACATGGATCCTCAGGATTTTTGCACTGGGTCACCCCAAATTCACCATTAGATCACATGTCTGTGGCCACAGCATGAACCATAAAAATCATACATCCACTGTTTCGTTTAGAATATTTTTTTCTTGTTTTCCTCCTCTAAAAACTATGTGTGTGTTATGGTTGGGAGCGTGTTATAGAGCGAAAAATACGGTAAATCCAAGCATTCCCCCCCCCCACTTCTGTGTGATTGCCTCGTGCGCAAGCAGCGTCGGGAAATAAATAAATGATTGAATTCAAACCCGGAAATGGTGGGAGAGGGATAGAGAGGCCTCGTGGCTTGCAAGAAGACCCTCCCCAGAGCCCAAAGAGACCAGAGGCGCAGCAGGGCTTTGTTTACGCTGCTCAGCCTCCACGCCTGACAGCTGATGTGCCGGGGGGGGGGGGTAGCTCAGCAGCAGTAGCTGCTTTCCCTTGTGTCCTCCAGCCTCCTGTCAGCCCCAGAACTTCAATTCTAGTTGTGGATATTTGGGGATACAGTATTTTCTGTGTGGATTGAAGAGATAGAGTGGCCAAAACGGTGATTAGAGGGTGCCCCCCACTTTACGTGATTATGTGGGGAGAGGGCGGAATCTTGTACAAACTATAGGTGCCAGACAGACCTGCAGATATCTCAGTTGAGTTAGAACAGTGGTTCTCAAAAGGTTAGGCAGAAGGGGATGGCAAGTGTAGTGGGAAGATTCAAGGACAATCAAAGAAACATTTAAATAGCGTTGTGTAGTGTAGTTTTGTGTAGCTAGACAGACAAGCAGACAGACAGATACAACAGCGTATGGATAGACATTTTTTCCAAATTAGAGCAAGAATATTGGCTATTCTGCAGTTCTGTCCAACATATTGTGGGTGAACAGGAGTTTTCAACTTTTATAGTTCAGAAATATGAAAGTTCAGAAATGAGAGAGATTTATTTGTGTTGATGAGGATATGAGAGTTTGCCTCAAATTAGACCTAAGGTAAATGAGATCACCTCTCAAACAAGTTCACGCCTCACATTGAGTTTGTCTGCATACGTAAGGTACACATGTAAGAGGCTCGTTTACAATTATATTTTGGGAATGAGTTATGTTCTTATGCAGTTGCATTGTTTTGTATTTTCTGGGTGTTCATATTATGGAGTGGTTGTGTTCTGTATTATAAATCAAGCATTGCTAGGAGTTGTTTATTTTTGTTTTCCAATGCATTTTTTATCAATGAAAAATTGGTGTGGTGCAAGCAAATTTTTATTCTGAAAGTGTGGCCCAGAGAAAAAAGTTTAAGAACAACTAAGTTAGAAGGAGGAGTTAGAAGGTTCCTTCCTTGAGAGTTTAGAGGAAGAAGGAATGAACTATTAAGGAAGAGAAACCAAGGCATTACCAATCCAGTAGAACAATGACTTCTTCTTCCGCTAAATGTTTTGAAGCAGGAGGTTGTTTTCTGCAGTCAGGCTACCAGGTGGTTTTCAAGTTTGCAATAGGGGAACTGAGGGCAAGAGATCTCCTTTTAGCCTCCCTTTTTTCCTTCTGGGTTGCAAGGATTTCCTGGGTATGAGGTGGCGTGGAATACCATAAGGCTGTGAATCTTCTGGAGCCCTGGCTATTTTGTACTCTGCCTCTAAAATCATAGGTGGAGAAGGAAAATCGGTGGAAAAGGGAGGAGGATGAGCAAAGCTCACTGAATCTGTACTGATGTCGACTGAAAACAACAACAGCAACAAAAACCCATTGGCAGCTGTCATTAACAATAATAGTCCATGAATCATGTTTATACATTAATATAAGCAGTTTAAATAGGTATCTAAATGAAATGGGTGACGATAAGCTATGTGTGCAGACTTAATAACCCCATGGTGTCAATATACTGCCATTTATATCTTGCTATTATAGTCATGTTTTCGAACAGTTTGTTCTCGATCCTTTTGGCTCCCAAACGCCACAAACCCAGAAGTGACTGTTTTGGTTTGCAAACTATTTCTGGAAGCCGAACGTCCCAACGGGGCTTCCACAGCTTCTGATTGGCTGCAGGAGCTTCCTACAGCCAGTCAGAAGCCGTGCTTTTGTTTTGGAAGTCAAACAGAGTTCCGGAACGGATTCCGTTCGACTTCCAAGTTACGACTGTATTTGCATGAAATGTAGTATCCTTGCCTGGATTGTGGAATTGTGTTTTGGGGCTGGGGTGGGCTGAGTCATAGTGGATGTGCACAGGATTGCGCTTTAGGCGAGGCGACACCACCCTAAATCTTTGTGTTCCCCATTCACACAAAACTGAACACTCTGATGGGTCAAGTTCACTCTGATTTTCATGTTTCACATTGTGCTTTTCTCTCTTTCTCCTTTTAGGTATCCTCATGGGAGCATTTATAAAAATTATAGAAGCCCAAAAGCTAGCCAACTGGAAGGTACTCCGACAACATTTTAAACTTCTTGGTTTTTTTTACCATATCTTTTATGCTGCGCTTAATTTGACCAAGCCAAAGAAGTGCCACTTAGGGTTCCTTGCTTTGTATCCCTGAAGCAGGACGAATCTTGCACTGGTCATCCCAGTTCAACAAAAGAAGCAGTAGCAGCAGCCCCCATGGGGCATCACCATTTAAGAAGCATTGGGCTAGTCCAGGGGACTCAGAAAGGGGAATGCAGTTGCTGCACCTACCCTCACCCCTGCCACACAGATTTTAGCACTATGAGAGATGTGTGCCCCATTCCTAATAATTTTCTAGTTTCAGCTCATTTTCCTTCCTGCAGTTCAACAGTCTCCTCTCTCTCTATCCCTCCCTCCCTCCTGCCCAGATGCAGGAGAGGATAGGAGGCAGGCAGCACAAGTTGTCACTTACGGTTCCGACATAGCTTGACTGGGCACTCTTCATCTCTAGCCAACCTGGAAATGCTGCTAAAAATGGGCCGAATCAATGAATGAAAAATAAAATGCCAGAAGCTTAAAAACTGTCCAGCATGTTCCTTTAAGGCATATGCACTTAGGTTCAACCCTACCTGTTTTGGGCACACCAGCCACACCAGCGGGGACCGGCTGGTGCATCTGAACCAAGCAGGATCAACTCTCTGTGCAACAGCCACGTCTTCACATGACATCACGTATGGTGCCACATAAGTCATAAGTTGTGGGGCAACTGGGCATGGTTTGGGGGAAACTGCCTCGGCGGGCCAAGTTTTGTCCATGGGCTGAACGTTCCCCACCCCTGCTTTAAGTACTGCCTGCTCCCAACCATCCCCATGCTCTTTTATACCTTTAACTACTATTTTTTGTATCTCGGAAGCGTCTATTGGGCTTCAGTTTCCCCACTACAGGCTGCTGCAGTTACAGAGTGCTTTGACCCACTCCGTTTTTGTCTAGTTTCAGAAACAGCTAGGGAAGGAAGTTTGCATACAAACAGATCAGTTCTAATCTAAGTGTTGTCCGCTCTGCCTAACTGCAGCTCTCCAGAATCTCCCAAGAAATATTTTGTGGTCCTGTTACCATGAAAGACCTTTAAACTGGAGGTGCTGGGGATCTTACTTGGAGCGGCAGACGTCATTACTTTATGGAATTGCCTTGCCACAGGATGTGGGGATGGCCATCAGTTTTGATGGCTTTGGGAAGGGATTAAGAGGTGTTTAAAAGCGATTACTGTCTCCACCTCATGAATTCCCTGGGGGTGGGCATTGCAAAAAGTGGGTGCTATAATAGAGTTTTTGACATTAGGGTTGGGATGGACACCCTGGTCCTTAATCCCAGCTGTATTAAAGTATTGGGTTTCTCTGTTTCTTTTTCTGGGCGACTTTCACTTCCGCCCTGGTGCAAAATAGCTCTTCACTGTGAAACAGGAAATAATCTGTCTAGACAATGAGATCATTCTCTCTACACTTTTTATATCACTATATCTCTTTATCTACCCCCCTTTCCCATCCATTCGATTCAATTCCCCATCCCACCTGTAATGGTTATATAACAATACCTAGTTGCTTAGATTTCTTTTTTAAGAATCATAATAAAAAATGTGGTCTACTTCAAATCACGAAATGTGTTCAGCTCTTTTTTAAAAAAGGGTTATCAGCACTTTACAAGCCCGATATTCAATTGGAATGACGGACTTTAAAAGTCAGCACTTAAAAAATCTGCAGTCCTATGTAATTTCCAGTACAAATGTTGCACTTGTAAATATAAAATGCAGGAGAAAGCCATGAGAAATTGACAAAATGGTTTTGCTGATGTCAGCCTGCAGCATTTAAAAAAGACAGAAAGGTGGCAAATGACTGTTATAAAACCCACTTTGGTCTGAGTTAAGCTTTTTCCCCACACCCACAATATGTGAGCTTTTAAAAGGTAAAGGTAAGGTACCCCTGCCCATACGGGCCAGTCTTGACAGACTCTAGGGTTGGTGCGCCCATCTCACTCGTGATAGGGCCGGGGGCCAGCGCTGTCCCGCAGACACTTGCCGGGCACGTGGCCAAGCGTGACAAAGCTGCATCTGGCGAGCCAGAGCCGCACACGGACGCCGTTTACCTTCCCGCTAGTAAGCGGTCCCCTATTTATCTACTTGCACCCGGGGGTGCTTTCGAACCTGCCTAGGTTGGCAAGCGCTGGGCCCGAGCACGGGACGCGCACCCCGCCGCGGGATTCGAACCGCCGGACCTTTCGATCAGCAAGTCCTAGGCGCTGAGGCTTTAACCCACCAGCGCCACCCGCGGTCCCAATATGTGAGGCTTTTAAGCTCCATCAATTATATTAATATCAGAAATGTGCAATATTTGGAGGAAAAAGCAGCTGTTACTCCTTCCTGTGTAGCTTTGTGGATCACTGAATAACTTAGTATTTGAGGATTTGACCTGGAGCCACAATTCTGAGTTTCAAAACGTCTTACTACACCCTCCTTGATTCCCCACTCTGCCCTAGAGCCACTGTCTTGTCCTTCATTTTAACTATGGAGTGACTCTTTTTGACCCCTCTCTATTGACTAGTTCCTTTGCTGTTGCCTTTCTCCCTGGTGAGATCTCCACCTGTGCCTAGGTTACCTGTTTGGGCTAGTGAGCCAACCCGGAAAACACTTGAGCTTTCAGTGCTGGACCATTATAGATTGTGTATTTTATGTAGCTGTTTCCCTTAGTGGGTTTGGGCAGAAAAAGGGGAAGCAGCCTTAGTATTGCTACTAACTGACCTCTATGGCCCCTGAAGAATGAGTGTGAATCTGTTGCTTGGGTCATGCAGCCTCAGAGAGTTGGTTAGGGGCCTCCGCTATTTTGTGTGTGTGGGGGGTGGTGGTTCAGGCACATAAAGCTGGAACAATTAAAGTGGATTAAAGTACTCTGTCACCCTAGCACTACAAATCTACTTGAAAAAAGAAATCAACTTTTTGCGGTTAGGAAAGTGATGGAGAAATTGTGAACAATGTGGGATGAATGGATGATGAAAGGGAAGACATATGAACACTCTGCAAGTAAATCAGGATGAACGTTCATTGTTACATAATATCCCCACAAACGGATGCTGAGTAAAGATCAGATATAATCTAACGGGTCAGAATGCACACTCTTTCTTTAGCGTTTGTCAGAGAAAGGGAAATCTCTTAGCTCTGGACCAAGAAGTGACCATGCTGCTTTATAGTCCATTATAGTTCACCAATAAAATGCCATTAAGAGTATTCCCAGCTGATGGTAGGTGTCGTGACTGGGCTTTAGGAAAGGCGTGGTACCTGTGGATTGTAAAACGTGGCATTTAAGACTTCTTGGTCAAAGCAAGCCTTTTGAAACATGCTTACTTTCTATAAGGAACCAGTGCAGATGCTGAGCTACAAGAACAATGTTATTTCCTGTATCTCATCTCTGCCTGGAATTTCTGCACCTGTTGTGGCCTCCACACTGTGGAAGGAGGACTTCCCATAGTATGGAAGCCACCTTTGTCAATGTAGATAGCGCACGTCTGTGACAATCTGTGATAGAACCCATCACAGTTCCACATCCATATTAAAGTTCCATTTATTACTGAATTGCATTTCTGATTCTGAAAGCCAAAGATAAGAATGCTTCAGTATTTCCTATAGTGAAATGTAGTTTTTTGCAGCACAGTAGGCTCACTTTCCCTCGCTATTTATTTGGATGCAGCAATTCAAATTGTGCTTCCTTTTTTCAGTAATTGAATGAAAGGCAATTTAAAGGTAATCCTGAGGATGTTTGCTGTCCTAAAGCCCCCTTTATGGTGGGTTTTGAGGTAGATTAATATAAAATTCCTTTCCTAGTGTATTTGTTTCTTAAAATATTCCCATTTTGGTAGACGCTTCAAAAAAGCTGGAGTTGGGTTTGTTTGTTCCAGATGTGCTATCCTTTTTATTACAGGTCTTGAAATTTCCTTCTCATATATATTTTTGTCTGCTGTATTTTACAGGAAGAAGAAATGTTTCGGCCAAATATGTTTTTCCTTCTTTTACTTCCACCAATTATATTTGAATCTGGGTATTCATTACACAAGGTGAGAAATCGTAGATCCTTTGTAGCTATGTTTGTGTCTTGGGCAGTACTGTGATTACAGCTACATTGGAGTTGACAGGAGACATTCACTAAAATGTCACCATTTTATGTCAAGTGTATCTGAGGGTTGGCTCACACATCACTTAGCTACTAAAGTGTTGGAAACTCTTGGGAAAGACAGAATGTTAATTTCTCATCATGGTACCTCAATGATGTGATGGGCCATTCATACAAGTTTGAACCAGCCCTTAAGAGAAGAACTTGGGTGATCCTAATATTGAGGCTTGTATCTTTCATTACCATGCCTTCATTACTTATGCCTTGATCAAAAAAAGTCAAAACCAAAGAGCGATCTAGTTCAGTCCTTTGTTGCAAGGCCTGACTATCTCCCTGCCCAATACCACCACTGCAGTCCACCAGATTCCACTAGATCCACTAAAGAAAGATTCCAACAGGGCAGAATTCCAGAGTGCTTCCTGAAGTAGGGGAAAGAGAGTACCTTAGTCTTGGTTCATCTGGCTCAAATGCATTTAATAATCATTTCAGTACTGATCTGAGGAAGGGAAGCGCCAAGATTGCACCTCCTTGCATCAGCTACACAGGCAGTTTGTTGGGTGAGGTGGGTGGCAACAGTCTGTTCCACCAGCCAGTGATCTATTTCATCTTGGAGAAAGCCTTGTTTCTGCACTTTGATTGCTCTCATCGGGGTGGGGCATGGAAGTGAAAGCACTTGGTTCTTTGTTTGCTCTAATAGAATGAAAAAATGTCTGCACTTTGCAATTAGCTTCTAAGAACATGAGATGCTAGGCCTTCCTAGAAGTCAGCGCCCCTGGTTCTGAAAGCCCTGTCTGCTAATCCTAGCCATCCATGGCTGAGCTTTGTTTACTTACTCATGGGCAAACACATTCTGGCTTCTCCAATACATTATTCTTTATGATTACTTCATGCGTTCAGAGGCTCAGCTTCCAGGTTCCGGATCTGAACCCAGATGATTGCTCACCCAGATTTAAGTCCTCTCTAAACTCACTATTGTTTGTTCCTCCCCTCCACCTGTTTTTAGGGCAACTTCTTTCAGAACATCGGCTCCATCACACTGTTTTCTGTGATTGGGACAGCAATTTCGGCTTTCATTGTCGGTGGAGGAATTTACTTCTTGGGTCAGGTGAGGTCGCCTGAGTGCATGCTGTTTGTTGTGGTGTGAAATATTGGGCCGCTGCTAAGGGCTGGGTCCTTTGAGCCACATACAGGATTGTGGAAAGAAATGGCTGAAGACGCGAGACTTTGTGGCGCTGGAAAGATTGGCATCTCAGACACACAACTAGCAAGCAGACTTGGGTCAGCATAATGTTTGGCTGTGATGACATTCGGGGTGCGGGGTTGGGCTGTTACTCTGGCTGATTTGTCAAGCAGATCAGTGTAATGTCAGACGCAACCTTCAGAAATCCACATTCCCTCTTGGACTGAACGTTGCATCGTACCAGGATCAAAGTGTCTTTGGTGATGTTGATCTAGGAATAGGGCCAAGCTGAATGACAAGAGGGATTCAGAAACGAGAGAACTACCTTCCCACAGGGCAAAAAGCAAGGGAGAAATATCCAGAAGTGCTGAGGAAATTCTTTTTTTAAAAAATACTTTTTTAAAAGATAAATTTCATAGGTGTGTGTATACAGAAATTTTAGAGTAACTTGATGGCATATTAGAATATTCCCTTCCTTTTCCTCTCGAACCCCACCCCCACCTGGGCATTCATAGAATTATAGGATTATAGAATTGGAAGGGACCATGAGGGTCATTCCCTGTAATGCAGGAATCTTTTGCCCAATGTGGGACTCGAACCCACAACCCTGAGATGAAGAGTTTCATGCTCTACTAACTGATCAGAAGCACCTTCAACAAGTTATCATCTCCATCTTACACATTACAGGTACAGTCGTACCTCGGGTTACGAACAGTCTTGCTTACAAACGCTTCGGGTTACAAACTCAACAAACCTGGGAGTAGGTGTCCCGGGTTGCGAACTTTGCCCCGGGATACGAATGCAATCCACTTCCAGGGCCACAGGAGGCCTATGTAGGGAATGCGTGCCTCAGGTTAAGAACGCTTTGGGTTAAGAATGGACTTCTGGAACGAATTAAGTTTGTAACCCGAGGTACCACTGTATTCAGCTTTTCATGCTGACCTTGTTGGTATTTTACATGAGGAAGAAACAGCTGGTGATAACCGATGTTAGTTATACTCAGAGTAGGCTCACTGAAATCAATGGACCTAAGCCCATTGATTTCACTGAGCCTATGTATGACTAATGTTGTATACCACCCAGTATACCTCTGCCTTATGCTACTTTAAGCAGTTACTGTATTCTGAACTGCAGAGACTTTTAATAAATCCCAGTGCAAAGGGAAAGAAAGCAAATTTTTCACACTGGGGAACTCCTGGTAGTTAATTACACCACAGCAGGGACTGAATCCTTACCTAGCATCATGGTTAAGTCAACCCCGCCCTAGACTATGGTATCCCAGAGGGCCATTGTACACAGAGCAGAAAGAGAGAGACTTTGCAATGTGTCCAGCAGTCTTTGCAAGGGAGCCATTGTAAGTCAACTTTTCATATCACTTTCATGTTGTGTTTGCCAAAAAATAATAATCATAATATCGTTTCTGCCATTGAGGCACCCAGGGCAATGTATAAAATACTGTTACAACCGTAAAGATAAAAATGTGGTATTTCACACCTTGAATAAAACCAATCATTGCAATGAAATATCTATAAATTTACAATTGTAAGCCAAAGCTAACAAAATAAATTTCAGTTGGGACTGATGCAAGGTTATGCACTTATGCAGGAAGAACCAGCTGCACAAAATTCAGTGCCCCCTGCCTCTCCTCTCATGCTCCAGTCTAACTCATAGTTGCGGTGCCCCTGAGCCTCTGCACCCAGTGCAGCTGAACGGGTTTTGCGCTCCCCTAAATCTGCCTCTGCATGGTCTAGCTTCTTCTTTTTTCTGAACGCAGGATCATGGCTTGTTTCATCCCAAACAGACCACAAGGGAAGCCACTTAGTGCTCGTAGTTTGAGTGAAACAAGGTTCAGGTAACACAAGCCAGACCGCAGCTTCTTTCCCAGTAGGAGTGGAGAAGGACCGTAGTGCTTGTGATTTCAGTGGCATAGCTTATTTTAACCACGATTTAATGTCGCAGGAGAACCAGCCTTTTTCAAGTGGTCATACATCTTCCTTGCTTTTGCCCTTCAGATCTGTTTCTTGTATAAGAGCTTGCTTATATTATGAACATTGCAAAGTATGAGCAAGTAATTTGCTTGTTCTGCTTACGACTCATGCTTCTGCAAGCTAATGTGCTCTTTACTGTTGCCTTGCAGATATATTTTAATTAATTCGGATCTTCCCCCGTCCCTCATTAAAAGTGTTGTGTAACCTAAGTGGATAGCTTAGTCTCCTCATTTGAGCCCCTTCACCGATCACAGCATTGTCGCATTCATTGTCCCATACCAAGTTTAAGTCTTGCATTTACCCAGACATGTTTCCCAATGGGGCAAATAGAAGTTTCAGGAGAGAGGATTTATTTTAGGAAAATTGTGTAGACAAAAGGCTTAAGCCCCTTCCCTCAGTGCTATTACCCTAATCTCCCTCCTGCCCTCAGTAGCTGCTTCTCCCCTCCCCTTTTAAGGAAATACCAGGATATCTATTAATAGATTTCTTATGTCTTGTCCAGTTTGATTCCAAATGTGCCAAGAAAACCACCACCGCCCATTTTCGCACCCTGTAATTTATCATTTGTTGTAGTCAGCAGGGGATCAGTCCTTCTGTGGTCTTCTGATTCACCTCAGTAAAGCATCTCTTGACCACCTCATTCTCCATAGGCTTCTATGATCCATTAATTTCTGTTAGCATCCCACTCTTGTGCATTTTATGTTAGCTGTCATTCCTGCAATGCAGGGGGTAGGACTAGATGACCCTTGGGTCCCTTCCAACACTACAGTTCTATAATTCTATGTCATACTACATTTTATTCTATTTTATGTTAAGCATGATGGCAATATATAGCCTTCTGTGGCCCTCTTATTTTGTGCAATGTACTCTAGGGAAGGGATGGGAAACCTCAGGCCCAGGTACCAAATGCATCCTTCCAGGCCTCTGTATCCGGCCCTTAGGACTCATGCCAGGCCCCCTTGGCCCTGCTCTGTGTCCACCTCAATAATGTGTACTTGAATGGGGCATAATTCCCCTGTTTGCCTAGATGGAGGGTTTGTCTGCCTGTCTGCTCCTCACCCCCTCTCTCTGGCACTTTCATGGTTAACTTCTGTCACGCCCTTTGCTCCACCCATTTCTTGCCTCTGGCTCCTCCCACCATAGGCATGCAACCTTCAGAAGGTTAGCCAAGAGGAAATATAGCTCTTGAGTTGGAAATGTTCCACCAACCCTTCTCTAGGTGTCAAAATAACACTTTGCCAGAAGCGAACCAGCTGTAAATCACACAGAGTAGGTGAAGTTAACTCTTTATTAGAAAAACAGGATCGACACAGCAGTGCCAGGTCTAATGAGCCCAGCAAGTCCCTTGCTCTTCTGAAGCAGTTGCAGAGACTAAAGGTCCCCATCTTCCCACAGCTGCCTAAGTCTCCTCCTCTCCAGGGTTTTCCCCCAGGCAATCTGAGACTGTGCCAGCATGCCTATCTTTGCTCTTCTCACTTCATGCCTCTACTGGTCCTGGGAGACCAATGGGGAGCAGAGCTGATCACAGCAAGAGGAAGAGACCCCTATGCTTCCTCACTAGCCTGACTCATCTCTGCCTCTTGGTCTCCCTCCTCTCCTGCTTCAGCTTATGATTCTGGACTTCTCTCTGCCACACACTCTTCCTGTTCACTAAGCCCTGTTACCTCTTCATCTTCCGGCACCTCCTCCCCTCAGGCTTCTCCCTCTTCTCCCTCTGACCACTTGTCTTCATCCCACCACCACTCCCCAGGCTTTGAGTCTTCTTCCCTTGGGGATTCCCTAGCTGGTTCCCCCCACTATTCCTCTGTATCCAACCAGCCCATGACATTAGGATTTAACTTGTATGCATTGGAAAAATTAAAAATTAAACAGAGGGCGGAAAGGGGGTAGTTGTCCGGGAAAAGGGACTTTGTCAATCCCACCTGCTATTGAACCCAGTGTGTTTTGACAATTTTAGCTATAGACACATGTTGTGGGATTACTGTACTGTCTAATACTATACCTGATCCTGTTTTGGTTCATTTTTTAAACAAAATTTCTGTAGCAAGCTGTGCTGCTTCCTTATACTTCTCTGAGCAGTAAATTAAGATTCTGATAACCTGTAATGCCAAATAGTTATCTGGTCTTCAGTGTTCTCAGTCTTTTACAGAATCTGCTTTTCACACTATGGCAGTATATAAATTAATTAGGATGTATGAGCTGTGGCTGTAAGTGTTCTCGTTTGTCAGAATTTTCTAGCACACATGTCTCTTTCATGGCACAAAAATACAATTTTTTTTAAAAGCACAAAAGTTAATTTTTTAAGTCTCTTTTTCTGTTTTCGTTGCTTTCCCCCCTCTAGGCTGACGTTATTTATAAGCTCAACATGACTGACAGGTAAGCTTTTGGCAGAATCTGTGTCATTATCTATTATTTGTGCAAGAGATTCTCCAAAATGATACCTCTTGATGAAATTGGTACTTATTTGAAGAGTGGTTGGCAGATCCTCGAAAGGTGGGAACCCAACTGCCTGCAACCACAGCTCATTCCATGCTGATTCAGTTCTTAACTATGGCTAATGTGGAAATTTGTGCCAGGGAGGGCAGGGGATGCGGGAGAAGGAGGACACAATTCTGTACCGAGCCCTTCCAGTCTATTAATTGTGGATAAGAAGTCACCTTAGTTTCATCTGCACCACTTTGTTCTGTATTAATTACAGCGTTTCAGTTGGCTTGTTATTAAGCATCACTTAATAGTGATGCTTTGTGTCTAAAGAGAAATGGCATGGGTAACCATTGCAAATACTGCTCCCTTAGGGAAAGTGGGGGCATTTCCCCACCTATCTCTAATCTACCCTCAACCAGTCCCCACTTGCATGCCTTCATACCTACAACCAATCCAAGGAGCAGGACTGCCTATCGACTTCTTCCTTCTTAAACTCTGTGTTACACTTGTAGATCTCAGCAAAGAGGAGGCTGGAGACAAAACTAGAATTAGTTGGCTATGCCTGCTATTGCCTCAGGCTGCACCTGCTGTTGGTCACCTTGCCTTCTGCCCTACCCTCCCAGGGGGTACAAGCCACTACTGCTAAATATGGGGGGGGGGCGTTTGATCAAAAATATGTACTTGCAGAAGCAGAAGTGCAACTGCTGAGAAATCTGAAAAGCAGGAGGTGTAAACGATTTCTCAGCTTATGATTATCACTGGCAAGATAATGCCTGGTGGTTTTCACTCAGATTTGGCTAGTTAATGGGTAGCAGAACTTTCCCAGCTGCTTCTTTCTTTGTTAACAGTGCCCTGTTCTTTAAAACTGAAAATTATTATTATTATTATTATTAGTAGTAGTAGTACTCCACCCATCTGACTGGGTTGCTCCAGGATGCTCACAACCTTCATTTTGAATTAGTAACATGGTGAGAATCAGTTCAAAGCGACACACAGACACACACATTTGATCTGGAAATAGTTTATTTCACTTAACAGATGGATCAAAAGGATTTTGAAAAGGATATTGCCACTTAGTTCTGGGTAGTTGTTGTCTTCTGGTGTGAAAAGTCACTCCTGTTAAAACTGATTTATTTTTTTTAATCCATTAATGCATCCCAGGACTGCTCAGCGATGCTTATTATTACATGCACAGTAGCGTTAAATAGGTCGAAAACAATGCTAACACTTTTGTTTATTCCTTTTTGTACAGCTTTGCTTTTGGCTCCCTGATCTCCGCTGTCGACCCAGTAGCTACCATTGCTATCTTTAATGCTCTCAATGTGGATCCTGTGCTTAACATGTTGGTCTTTGGGGAAAGTATTCTCAATGATGCTGTCTCAATTGTGTTAACAAAGTAAGTACATGCCATAATGTTCCTCTATGCTTGTCAGGGAGTTGTGATTTTTGGCTGCAACATTTTGCTGTCGGGGACCCCCCCCCCCATTTGCCTCCAGACAACATGTGAAATACCCCTATTCCCCAAGTATACTTAGCTTTATGGCCTGATGCTTTGTTTATAATCCCAAGGGTCTCAGCCTTCCAGTTTTATTCACCCCCAATGTCCTGATCTGCCTTTTCCCTTTGATCCCTGCTTACACACAGAATGCTTCCCTCCCACATTCTCACCTGCCTTGTTGATCAAAGGAAAGAGCAACTTCTTTTTTCGTAGATAATATTTTCCAAGGAGGCAGGATCTATCCAGCATTGTAACACACACACACACACAGAAAGAGAGAGAGAGAGTGTGTGTGTGTGTGTGTCCGGGCCTTCTGCTGGTGGGTTTATTCTTAAAAAGTGCATCTCCTCTTTGCTTAGACATATTCCCAACGATTTTGCTGCAGCAGGCATCTTCCTGGCTTATTTTGTACCATTGCTTAAGAGCATCAGAAAAAGCGAAGCTAGACTTCCAGATTATTGTTGTTTTTTCAGTAGAGTTGTGTTTCCCCCTCGGGGGGGGATTGCATCAGCACTTGATTTAATGCCTCTTGACATTCTACTTGTTATATCACAGTAAAAGCATTTTAAGAGCAGTTTCAACAAAGAAATAGAGGTTGATGAGGTTTTTTTTTATGGTGCGGAGCTTGCAAGTCATAAGATTCAAATATGTAGCCTCTTTCCTTGTCCTTTTTTTTTTAATTGTTCCCAGCACAGCAGAAGGCTTGACAAGAGAACATACGTCAGATGTGAGCGGATGGCAAACTTTTCTGCAGGCCTTGGGTTACTTTCTGAAGATGTTCTTTGGTTCCGCAGCGCTGGGAACTCTGACTGGCCTTATTTCTGCAGTAATATCCTTCGCTTTTAGGTAAAGTAAAGCAGATGCATCAAGCAGAATGCCTTTCCATTTTAATAATGACTCTCGGTCATGTTTCATATGGAGATTATCTTTTTTTAAAAAAAAACAACAACCCAAAAACCTCAAAAGCCTTTTTGTTGGCATTCTGTTCCCTCTCTTCCATTTCGTTTTTAATTGTAGCAGTGCCAGTGGGCAGTGATTTTGGATTACATTAAACTGTTGCATTTCTATGCAGCTCTCATTAAGGCATAAGCTACTGTATAATAGCTCATCACACATACTAATAGAGGGGTAGAAATATGCTGATTGTTTGCTGTGCTAGTCCTAATGCATTAATTCCATTTTCAGTAATGGGTCATTTTTGTTAGCATATGCTCCAGTTTTCATATGTATAAAACATCCCATAAGCAGATTAGGGATTCTCCCCCACTTCTGCCCAATTTGGGGAAATTCTTCTGCCCAATTTGGGGAAATTTCTCCCCTCCCACTATAGCTTCATATGATTCAATGCTTAGTAAGTTGTCCTTCAACTCTTGGGGGGATGAGGGGGAGGGGGGGAGGGGAAGAGAAAGGAAAAGATTAATTGTGCATCATAGCCCCAAATGTATATACGGCTTGTTGGGCCATCATTCTCATTCATTAAGGATTTATGTAAAACTGAATTGGCTTTCCATACTAGCTTGAACTCCAGAGTCCCTCCACTAGAGCCGCATCTAGGGTTGCAGAGATTGTGTCTCCTTTGTGCTGACATAGTCTTGCATTTTTAATGGTGCTTGACTTCATCTCCAACTGACTTCATCTTGCAAAATCAGGGAAGTGCAGGTGGTATGTAATTCAACACCAGTTAAGCAGCTTCAAAAGATTTCTGGAGGGGGAAAAATGGAAAACAAGCTAGCGATTTCAGATTAGTGCAGTGCATGTATATTTCAAAGGCAGAGAATATTTTTAATGTAAATAAAGAAATAGAATAGATGGTTTTTTTAAAATAAAAAAGCAAACTTTAGTCAAAGGGTCTTTTTCATGTCATTCCTAATGCAAACACTGAATGGGGTTGTTTTGTAAAATTAAACCTTTGTGGTTGAGCTGGGTTGGTGGGAAGATGACCTTTTCATCTTTTGATCATTGACAGCTGATAACTGAAGAACAAAAATGAGGAGGCGAGTAGTTCAGTTTCCCTTCTATTAAATTTTTCCATTTCAAAAAGTAGAACCTTAGCTCTGGAGCATAATAATGTGTTAAGGCAAAAGGCAACTTACATTATTTGTTATCATCATACATCTGAATGATTTGGATGAAAAATGCATGTTTCTGGGTCACAGGCTTTCTAATAATTTTATTTATTTAGGTAAAGCATTTCTTATACTGTCCTTCCCCAAACTGATTCCAGTGTAGTTTGTAAGGTGAAAAACACAGGGGGATATCCTACTAAGTCATATTCACAGTAGATCCACTGAAATTAATGGACAAATCCTTGCTTTCACTTTGTGGCAAATGAGGAGAGAGCTTAGCCAGCCACTTGTCCCAGTTCGGACAACATGCTAGGGCAAACCTTGGCTTAGTGCCACGTGGCATCAAAAAGGACCAGTGAGGAGCAAAGTGGCTGCAAGCTCCACTCCAGGAGCCTGGACAGTTGTGTGATGTTGATAAACCGTGATTTGGCCTAGTGTGTTGTTCAAACCAGGCATTTGTATGCAGAGTGGACCTGCCCTGCTTCTTGGAGCCTTTAAAATTTGATTCTTGCAACAGAGCATCACCACATGGCAGGAAAACAGCACCTGTTGTTCTACCTGAAACTATATCAGGCATGGCCTATGTGGTGCCCTCCAGATGATGATGGATTACAACTTCCATCATCCATGATCATTGGTCATGTTTGCTGGGGCTGATGGGACTTGGATATCTGGAGTGTACAACATTGCCTGCCGCTGCACTATACAGCATGTAGAGAAGAATACCAGAACTCTGCTTTGCACAGGGTATATCTCATGGTTCCTATATATTGGTTCACTATGGGACCTCCACCCCCAGCCCTCTTGTTCTCCTCTGGTCAAAAAAGAACTGTTTTTCTATTTGTCCGATTTTCCTGCTCCCGTATCTTTCTTTTATTTTCTTAACTCTTTGATATTAACGTGCTGAAGCATGTTGATTTACGGAAAACTCCTTCCCTGGAGTTTGGAATGATGATCATCTTTGCTTATCTTCCCTATGGACTTGCAGAAGGCATTTCTCTCTCAGGTAAGTTGCAAAACGAATAAGCCCAAGGCCTCTTGAGATTGTCAAAAAGATACACAGTCTATTGGGATCGTCAGAACTTTCTGCTTCTTTAGCATATTTCTTGTCCACAGTTTTCTGCAAGGGCTGTAGAGCTCATGAGCCAAATTTGTGCTACAGAGTCTTCAGTAGACTCTGCATCTGCTATGTTTCATCCAAATAAAAAGCTCTTCTACTTCTGGAGGTTGCTTGAGCTCTAGTACATTTTGTAGAGAAACTCCACAATGTGGGAAATGCACTGTTTCAGATCAGTGCATGCTTTTGTTCTACCCCAGTAGCTCAGGGTGGAAGGTATTACCTAACCAAGACTAATGCTTGGTTTATTTGTGTCCTGGAACCCAACTTCCAGTCTGAGACTGAAAGAGGGGGGATGGATAGTGGGTTTACATCCCCAATACATATAAACCTGATGTTGCTCTGAGTTACTTTTACCCAGGGGAAGGAACAAGGTGGGGTGTGTACTCAGGCTGTACATTCTAGGTAGAAGAAAGAACATCTGTACAAGAGCCATGCGTCGTATGAAGTTGATACTCAGGTAGTATAAATAAAGTGTCTATCCTTGGTTGAACTTGGTCATGTCTATAGGAAGAGAAGACGAGGAAGCTCTCTCCGTATTGATGGATCTAAGCCTGCTTCGTAGTCGGTTCCAACACTTTTTGCTCATAATGTAACCCATGTGGTTACATTAGTCCCAAGGCTAATGCTACATTAGCACAAACGAGGGTGCTTCAGGAAACCCAGGTCCCTTTCCAGAGTCTGATATAATGAAACATTGGAATGCAATCTCCTGTTTTTAACACCATTCCTACTCTCCTCCCGAACCGCTACCCCCCGCCACCAAATAAGGGATCTTGCATTAAGACTTGGAAGGAAATGCATGTTTAATCATCATGGAACGTAATGTAAGGAGCCTAAGTGCTCCTATGACCATTTCTCTATAGCATCTGGGGTGTTGTGACTTGACATAAGTCCATTTGCATTCATTATAATCACAGGTGTGTGGGTATGAAAGATTACAATCAAATAGTGGTGGTTTCTGCATATAGAATTTGAAATATTCTCCCTCATTCTTTCTGCAGATACTTAAGAAAACTCCCATTTGATTTGCCACAAGTTGTTGTTATTATTATTATTATTATTATTATTATTATTATTACATTTCTTTCCCACCTTTCCTCCAAGAAGCTCAAAGATGGCACATACAGTTCTTTCTCTGTTTTATCCTCTCAACAACCCTGTGAGGTAGGCTAGGCTGAGAGACAGTGACTGGCCCAGGCTCACCCAGTGAGCTTCATGCCTGATGGGGATTCGAACCCTGGTTGCCCACATCCTAGTCTAACGCTCTAACCTCTGCACCACAGTTGCTCTCTGATGTGTCTGTTCCATCTAAGCCTGCCTGCCATTCATCTTAAGCATCAGAGCTTGAAATCCATCTTGCTTTACATGTAAGAGGTGCCCTATTCCTTCCCTTTCTGGTTGTTCCTTTATGATTCCATAGGAGGCATGATGGATGACTGATAACAGCTTACACAACGAATCTAATTCATCTAAGGCAGACATGGAGCAGCTCTTTTGATGGCCACTTCCATTCCACTTATGATGGCAACACTTGTGTATTGGGGCATACAATTTAGAGTGGATTTTTCAAGCTCTTCCCCATCCTGTTGTTGTTGTTTAGTCATTTAGTCGTGTCGGACTCTTCGTGACCCCATGGACCAGAGCACGCCAGGCACTCCTGTCTTCCACTGCCTCCTGCAGTTTGGTCAAACTCATGCTGGTAGCTTCAAGAACACTATCCAACCATCTCGTCCTCTATCGTCCCCTTCTCCTTGTGCCCTCCATCTTTCCCAACATCAGGGTCTTTTCCAGGGAGTCTTCTCTTCTCATGAGGTGGCCAAAGTATTGGAGTCTCAGCTTCAGGATCTGTCCTTCCAGTGAGCACTCAGAGCTGATTTCCTTCCGAATGGATAGTTTTGATCTTCTTGCAGTCCATGGGACTCTCAAGAGTCTCCTCCAGCACCATAATTCAAAGGCATCAATTCTTCGGCGATCAGCCTTCTTTAAAAACCTCCCCATCCTGAGGCGACCCCAATGATCCCATGTTTACCCTTCTGTAGCAGTGCATCCCAGATGAAATCTGGGAAACCGTGGAACTATTAATAATTAGAAATTTGGAGCCCATTCAGTGATTTAATAAACACTTAATGAAGTGTTAGGAATTACATTGGGCAAATTGAGTTATTACGTAACTGAGCATTTTTAAAAAATCAGCCAAGGGATTATGGAAACACTGAGGTTTACTGAGCCTGTCAGCTACTATCAGATCACTATCTGTGTTCTAATGCTGCAGGGGCTTGGCCCCTTTTTGTGCCTGTAGCCCAGTCCTGATTGCATAGGAAGTTTTTCATTTCCTTTGTGCAAGCACTTGCACATCTGAGTGAAATTCCTCAGAGCTTGGCAAATGCTGCCTAGGTGGAGTTTGGTGACGTGTCATGTGTGATCTCACTTTCGTGGATGGTACATGCGGTGATTTCCCTACTGGAAAATATCTCAGCCTGCTTCGTCCAGCTCTGTGAATACATAGAAAGTGCACAGGGACTTTGAATCAATGGGCTTAGCTTTAAAACCATAGTTCAGGATCTTCAGTGTACTTCCAGATGGCCTCTGAGACCACAGTCACAATGGGGGGGGGGGGAATGCCAAAGAATCATGGCTTTAGCTACCTTCAATCCACTTTCCTGTCTGCTTGAAAAAATAAATTTAAAAAATCAGTTCCGTAGAAGCTTGAATGAGTTCACCTGCTGAATAGTTGGCAAGATGCCTTTAGTTTGACAAATCACAAGTCATGCAGTAAATCTTATATAAATTTTGTTTTAAAAAATGAAATCTTAAAAAAAATAGTCTCTCAAAACTAAGTTACTAAGAAGCATCAACTCAAAAAAAGTGGGCTTCTGTAATTATAGTAGACTCCAACCTTGACTCAAAGTCCCAAACTACATACATATATACATACATAGAATCAGAGCAGGAAGGGACCCTATGGATCATCTAGTCCAACCCCCTGCAATGCCACAAAATGCACCCATAAGGGGATCAAGTGGGCTTTCACCCAGGAAACCTTGTGCCACAATAAATGTGCTCATCTTGAAGGGACCACTTCAGTTTATGCCCCTCCCACCCCCTGAGCTGACTTATTAATTGCATTGAAGGGTAACTGTTTAAGAGTGAGGATGTTGTGAATGACTAAATGCAATATATTCACAGACTATATGTAGTCCACCGTTATCTGCTATCCCAGAAAATATTTTATTTCCTTCTTGGTTTCTTGCAAGCTTTCCCCCCCTGAAATCTGGGCAGCGCATGCTGTGGAAGGACAGATGGTGCCGTTTCCTGGCCTGTAGATGTTTTGATTTATAGCTCTTCTACCCCTAAGGCAGAAAACATGTGGATTCAGCCTCTCATAAGGTGATGCAGCTCGGTAGCCCGATCCAAAGTGCTTTAGGAGCTCCAGCACAAACCTGAGGCTCCGTCATAAGCAGGGACTGCCTCCCATTAATCTCAAAGATGCCTAAACATCAGCATCCATCCTCCGAGCTGTCTCCAATTTTGAAAGGAATAAGGAAGCCCTTGCATATATAGGAGCTTCTGTGCTTTTAGAGCTCATAAAAATGTCCTTTAAGCCTGACAGTGACACGTATGGCTATGTTTGCACCGGTTGAACCAGATGATTGAGGCACCTTTGGCAGCTGGCCAAACTAATTGTACAATGTCGATGCAACAACTTACACCCAAAGGTGGAGTAGGGCTCGCTTCCTGATTTATTTTCCCCGTTCCCTTTTCTGCATCACAGAGCAGTGTTGATGTTTTGCTAATTGGTCTGGGGTGAGCAAGAGCTGGGGGGAGATTTGTAAGGTTATGCATTGATACGTGAAATAATATTTATCTGATTTGTGCTGTTGTTTCTCCAGGTATCATGGCTATCTTGTTCTCTGGCATCGTGATGTCTCACTACACTCACCATAACCTCTCGCCGGTTACACAGATCCTAATGCAGCAGACACTGAGGACCGTTGCTTTCATGTGTGGTATATGCTGTCTTCTTCTTGGTCTCCTTAATCTGAACTTCAGCTATTAAAATGATTCCTGATTATCCACACACTCATGTAGCTCTCACGTAGCTATAGACTGGCTTGCCATTATTATTACAGTCGTGCATTGGAAGTCAAATGGAATCCATTTGGAAGTCCATTTGACTTCCAAAATGTTTGGAAACCGAAGTGTGGCTTCTGATTGGCTGCAGGAAGCTCCTGCAGCCAATCGGAAGCCACGGAAGCCCCTTCAGACGTTCGGCTTCCAAAGAACGTTCACAAACCAGAACACTCACTTCCGGGTTTGCGGCGTTCGGAAGCCAAAACGTCTGAGTACCAAAGCGTTTGGGATCCAAGGTATGACTGTATTATTATTATTATTATTATTATTATTATTATTATTATTAATCATTTATATTCTGCCCATCTGACTGAGTTACCCCAGCCGCTGGGCAGCTTCCAACAAACTGAAACTCAATAGAGCATCAGACATTAAAAACCCCTGACCAGGGAATTGTTTCTCACATTTGTATCCTGCCATGGAGCTCAGGGCAGTGTGGTTAGGAGTTATTCTGCACAGCATGATGCGTGAGAGGCAGTGTGGCCTAGTGGTTGGAGTGCTCGACTAGGACTCGAGAGGCCAGGGTTCAAATCCACACTCAGCCATGAAACTCACTGTCTCTCATCCTAACCTACCTCACAGGGTTGTTGTTAGGATCAAATGGCAAGGAAGAGAACCCTGCGCCCCACCTTGAGCAAGTAGCAGTGGTTTCAAGTTATCATAAGAGTCTCACTGGATCTAAGGGATGTGAACCTGCGGCCCTCCAGATGTTGTTGGACTCCGACTCCCATCAGCCCCCACTAGCATGACTAGGAATGATGGGAGTTGGAGTCCAGCAACATCTGAAGAGTCACAGATTCTCCATCCCTGATCTAGTTCAATGTCTTGGACATCACTGGGTATCCAGATGTTTCTGGGAAAGCCAGCATGGAGGTGATGTCTCGCCTCTGCTGTTGTCCCTCAGCTAACCGCCTCCCCTGCCTGTGAACCTGGACACTTAAGATACCTTGGGTAGCAGCTGCTGCCAGAACGATCACATCTGAATTCATCTAACCACCGTTTAAAGCCATTCAGAGACATGAATTATAGGCAGAGAGAGAAGGAGAGAGAGAAATGTTCCTGTAGCCAGGGGAGTATCTCTTCCACACATTTCCGACTTACTAATACGGAGTCTGCCAAGCAGTCTAAAGTCACCTTTACTGCCAAACAAGATAAAATGTGCAGTAAATCTTTTTCTCTCCCTCATCCTCCAGGCTCTGGCTAAGACTTGCCACAAGATTGATAACAAAATAGATCTCTTTGACTCCTTTCCCCCTCTAGGCTATTTTTAGATTTAGGAGATGCAACATGCCTACATTGCTGTTAAAAGGTTTTGGATATAAAGAAACTTTTTTTGGGGGGGGACCTGGTAACAAATGAATGCAAAAGAATATAAAGTGACTAAATAAAAAAGTATCTCTGCATAGCCCGTCCTTTCTGATATTGCCTTATTTTAGCCATTTTTGTTTGTTATTTTAAGTGGGAATTAAATTATTGTTATTATCACCATCACATTTATGTCATACTTTTCATCCAAGGAGCTCTGGGTGGTGCACACTGTTCTCCTTCTGCTCCTTATTTTATCCTCACAATAACCCTGCGAGGTAGGTTAGTCAGAGACAAATGATTGGCCTGAGGTCAACTAGTGAGCTTCATGGCTGAGCCCTCTCCTCACTGGTCCTAGTCCAACACTCTTAATTGCTAAACACATTAATTAATTTTAAGCACATGCAGTTGTCTATTCCTGATCAACTAGTTACGTGAGCCCAAATGTAAGGCTCTTTGTGTCAGTACATCCAAAGTATAATCCATTTGCTCTCATCTGTTTCTCTGCTCTCTCTCACGGTTTTCACACAGGTAGCATATACATAAAGGTAAAGGTACCCCTGCCCGTACGGGCCAGTCTTGACAGACTCTAGGGTTGTGCGCCCATCTCACTTAAGAGGCCGGGGGCCAGCGCTGTCCGGAGACACTTCCGGGTCACGTGCCCAGCGTGACAAAGCTGCATCTGGCGAGCCAGCGCAGCACACGGAAACACCGTTTACCTTCCCGCCAGTAAGCGGTCCCTATTTATCTACTTGCACCTGGGGGTGCTTTCAAACTGCTAGGTTGGCAGGCGCTGGGACCAAGCAGCGGGAGCGCACCCCGCCGCGGGGATTCGAACCGCCGACCTTTCGATCGGCAAGCCCTAGGCGCTGAGGCTTTTACCCACAGCGCCACCCGCGTCCCCTTAGCATATACATACAAGGTCTTTAATTATTAGGTGGGGTGGGTTGCTGTTGCTTTTGTTCACCAGTTCAATGTATGCTCCGCCAACTTAGAACATAAAAGGAGATACAGCCCAATTTTAGAGCTTTCTGCAAAGGAAGCAGAAGAGGAAACTCCTACTCCCTGTTTCCGCTTCTACTGCCTTTAAGAAGAAAATAGAAAATATCAGGGTGTCATGAATGCTTCTTTCCATTTCTCTTTACAACACTATTCCGGCTGCCTGTTCATTTATGCAGCTGCATACGTGTCAAGCGGTCCTTTTAAGAATTCCCCACACCGTTCAGGCCACAGTAATTCAGTGCTAATAAACTGCAGCATCAAAGGGCTATGCATGTGGTTTTGCATTATCCAGCCTGGTTGACTGTTTGTCTCTGTTTTCTCTCTCTTTCAGAAACATGCGTTTTTGCATTTCTAGGCCTATCAATATTTAGCTTCCCTCACAAGTTTGAAATGTCCTTTGTCATCTGGTGCATAGTAAGTACTTTCGTAAGGGATAAACATTCATACTTTTTTTTAAGAGAGGTGTTGTGTTGAGCTCCTTTGGTGCTGTTTCAAAGAACCCACAAATTTTAATGGCTCCATTTTCTGATGAGTTATGAACCCACTGAATAGCCATTGTGTTTTGTTGTTGTTTTTTTTTAAAAAAGCTTCTCTTTTGCAAAATAGGAATAATGGCAAAGCATTCTTGGTGACTGCACTTAGGGGCACCATGTCAAAAGCCTGAGACAGCTTTTCAAAAGTTCTATCTTGGTCAAAGTTCTCAAGGGTCTGTGATTTTGGCATATATTCTCTTTGTAATATATTTATCTAGGTATATGTGAAAAGTTCAGAAATGCAGGTCTCAAGAGCAGGGTGAATGAGAAAGTTAAGTAAATTAACAATCACACTCTGGAGTTGTGGGATTTTCTTATAATTTAGAAATGTCCACCCTAATGAAATCCCATCGACTTTTAGTGGCTGTGCTTATTAAGTTAACAGAGCTCTGTGAATAGATCAGATTAACAAACAGGTTTTTGAAGTCTGCTTAAAGGTTTGTTTGCTCGAGGCCACCCTCACTTCCATCCCATAATCTGAAGGCCTTTTCTGTGGTGGCCCCTCAGTTTATGGAACTGCTGTTTGTCAGAATAGAATTTAGCAGACTAACAGAAACCTGCAAATTACTCTTCGGGGAGGGGGGAGGATTTGGATGGGGCTTTGTCCTCTATCCTCACAAGCTGATGCCTCTGGCCCTAGCTGTTCCCGTATGAAAAAATTCACCACACGCCACTGCTCTTTTACCAACTTCTAAGAGGCTGCAGCAGGAACCAGTGTGGGGCTCTGGGTTAAGAGCCTCACTACGAGGCTGGGAGAGCAGCTTGAACAGCACATTGCTACTAGCACTATATCTTGTCCCTGATCTTGTCCCTGAACAGCCCCTCAGTTTGCCTTTTTCCTGAGCCCTCCATTGACCCTCCGCTTCCTGGGGCATGGACCTTGCACTGCCCCTTGGTTTGCTTTTTCCCTGAGCCCTTATTGGAGCAAATAACTTGCCTGGAATTGGACCTTGGAGCGGCCTTGGACATCCCTGCCTTGCACAAATCCCCTGCAACCAGGGACCCAGCAAGGGCAAGACATTGTGACTTGTCCTGTCCCGCATCCTGTTTCCAGCATTGGCCTGCTGGGTGCCTTCATAATAAGCTCGCAAGCACGACAAAGCCAAAGTGATGGCTACCTTGTTTTGTCACGTCCCCCCCGCCATGTTTGCTACTGGAGAGGTACTGCCTCTGACCATCTCGCTCTCTGGAGGCCTTGGGAGCTAGGCATTTGCTTCTCTTTCGAAACAAAAGGTGCACATCTCCGAACACGACATGTTGTTATGCAGTGGTTGTGCAAGAAACCCATAGTTCTTGCCTAAGCTCTGACAATATATAGTCGCAATTACTTAATATGCACTCTGCTCCCTTGCATATTTCCTTGGAAGTGTCTCTTTTTATTTAGAGCTGCTTTATTTCCAAGTAAACGTGGGGATTATTGGCTGCCTGCTCCATCTCATAGTCAGAAATAGTTAAGAGTGTCAGAATGATGGATTCCCCTCCCTGCTTTCAGTGGGCAGCCTAAAGAGAATAGTCTACAGCAGGGACTGCTGCTAGCAGGGAGTGTTATTCTGTCACTGTTGAACAGTGAATTGCCAGGGGGAGGAGCATATGAATGATCTTCAAATTGTAGAGTTGGAAGGGACCCCGGGGTCATCCAGTCCAACCCCCTCCAATGCAGGAATCTCAGCTAAAGCATCCATGACAGATGGCCATCCAAACTCTGCTGAAAAACCTCCAAGGAAGGAGAGTCCATCACCTCCCAAGGGAGACCGTTCCACAGATAAGTTTGTGTGTGTGTATGCGTGCACACACACAAGAATATATATACCTACTTTTAGGACAATATGGGAAGGTTGTCTTTTGATGGGGTATAACTGAGAAATAAAAAAAATACATCTATTATTTTACATACATCCCACACATTATTGTAACCTATATCATGAGCTACACCCCACTCCCCTTTTTAAAGAAATAGTTTTCATTATCCCTTTAGTTGGGGCGGTGAGCTTCTTACGCTTTCCATGGATGCAATTCTTCCTCTTCCCGCACAGCCCCTAAATCTGTTCTGGGTTTTCCCCTGGCCCTCTTGAGCAGATTTGGGGAGGGCACGGGCATACACAGGGACAGGAGAGGGAGGGGGAGTTGTGCAAAATAGAAATCCTTTTTCCGGTGGAAGCACTTCCTTGGATACTAACCCCTGGCAGAAGAGCTGGTATATAATGGGTTATTTGTGACTCTTGATTGTCAGCTAATCTGAGGAGTGTCCTCGCAAGCCGCTTACCATTTGGACTGCTCTGATGCACCTGAAAGAACGCTTCCCCTTGCCCAGTGGCTAATTTGCTTGTCTTTTGACAGGTGCTTGTGCTTTTTGGCAGAGCTGTCAATATTTTCCCCCTCTCCTACCTGCTCAATTTCTTCCGCGATCACAAGATCACCCCAAAAATGATGTTCATCATGTGGTTTAGTGGTAAGTATTTTGGCTTACTTGATACTTTTTTATATAAAAAAAACCTAGTTATTTCTTCATATTGTACTACTGATCAACGTTTATGGAGCAATGCAAGCAAAAAGACAGGTCCCTGCCCTGAGGAGTTTACAGTTTCCATTTTTTTTTTTGTATGCTACTAATTTAACTGCCCTGGAACAGCCAGCAGCAAAGCACAAGTTTTGCATGCCGAAGTTCTCCGGCTGAGGCATCTCCAGTGGAATGGCCAGGTAGAAGGTTGCTGTGTGGATGCTGTGTTTATGGAGCCAGGCAGGAGGTGATGGGGGAAAAACCTCCAGGTGGAGATCTCTGGGCAGCCCTACTGCCAGTCAGAGTAGGCAATACTGGGCTGGATGTGCCAGTGACCTCACTCAGCATAAGGCAACTCAAATGTCCAACGTTTTGTGAAGGAGACACTAGGAACATAGCAAGCTGTCCTATACCAATGGTCCATGTAAATCAGTTATGTCTGCACTGACTCGCAGCAGCTCCTCAGGGCTTCAGCCAGGGGTCCCTCCTAGGCCTGTCTGGAGATGCCAGGGATTAAACCCGAGGCCTCCTGCATGCAAAAAACATGTTACCACTGAGCTGCAACCCTTTCCCCAACAGAGACAGGGTGAAGGGTAACAAGGGATGACAAATGCAGCCTTGTCAAAAGTCTGTGGGCTGCAGTAGATGAAACCAGGGTGCTGGGTATGGGATGTGCCCAATCTAAAAGCAACAAGTAAAACAACCAAATTGTTTGTGTAGCTTAAGAAGCCTGCCTATTGGTAAATAAATTGCATTCCTTATTTTCCCTCTGCTCATCTAGGCTTGCGTGGGGCCATCCCATATGCCTTGAGCCTCCATTTGGGCTTGGAGCCGATAGAGAAGCGGCAGCTCATTGGCACCACGACAATCATCATTGTGCTGTTCACCATCTTGTTACTGGGAGGAGGGACCATGCCCTTAATCAGACTGATCGACATTGAAGACTCCAAAGCCCGGCGAAAGAACAAGAAGGACATTAACCTCAGCAAGACAGAAAAAATGGTGAGCTCCTTTTCCTTCCAGGCTTAAGTGGGGCGGATCCTTCACTTTCCCCAAACTGTCTGACCGCTTCTGTCACTGTATGGGAATTAAAGGAAAGGAGAGGCCTGCAGGCCAAGGAGTTGACTGCCTCCTGAATGTTCTGCATGGAACATCTCTGCCCTTTAATCCTGGGCTTGACAGAGCCCTTTTCCAGTTTGTAATACCACTCACAACTTGAAGTTTAATGGCAAGTTATTTCCTTTAAGTGAAATAGCATTTCTGCTGAAATTCAGTCATGATAGCACTGGGTGGACTGAGTCACATATAAGTGGATGATAATAACACATAGATAGTGAGTCACACATCACTCAGGGCGACAGTGGTGTTCTGCTCTGCCATTAAGCGGCAGCTGTAAATCATTGGCAAGCTGTTCAAAATGGGGATATGCACGGCTCTGTTCAGAGAAAGGCAGAGAGAGTTCCCCAAAGAGTAAAGGTTGCTTACGTCCACTATCTTGCCAAACTAGAAGTACTGTGAAACAGTTGGCTGTACCCAAGCTGTTGTTCTGCAATGTACAGAGCAGGTAGCAAAGTGTTCAGAACCGGCCAGTGCTGTACTGAGAAAATGAGTTGTACTGGAAGAGAATTCAGATGCACACTTCACGTGAACCTTCACATAAAGCCTGAGGTGTCTGTTGCACCATATCCAGGTGTTGTGTCAAACAGGGCATGCCAGTGTGGTTCCCACGGGTGAGATGCCCTTGGAGTCTTCCTCTAGTTCCCCTAAAGCCTCTGAACTCACCTTTCCACTCCAACTCACGGCCTCACTTGATCATGCAGTGGTGAGGACGCTTACCTTGTTCTCCCCTGAAAAGCACCTAGAACTGTAGCAGGAATTTGGAAGACTGGTCCTTTCCCCACTTCCTCTTTCATCTCCATGTGCTTTTCAAGGCCCAGGTTCATTCTACCTGATCAGACTTTCACCCAGATCCGTTGAAAAGTGAGCAGTGTGTGTTTGTGTGTGAGAAAGAGCGCTCACACACGCATGCACACATATGCTTTCTTTCTCTTGCGGGCAGGGGGGAGCGGGGAACTGATCCAGGGCAGGGGGAGAGAACCAGAGCAGGTAGCTCCCACATCACTCACTCAAAAATCCAAATGCACCCACGGCCCTTAAAACACTGGTGACTCCAACGTCATTATCTCCCATCGAAGACGCTTAAAAGCCTAGTTTACATGTTGTGCTAAGCCACAGTTTAGTGGCATGTGCATGGACCTCAGGCTCAGGGGGTTTCGCCCGCCCCCCCCGGCCGCACCTGCGTTAAATAGGGCAGGCCACGCCCCCGAGCCAGCTGATTGGCTGTCCAGGGGATGACACAGCCGGGGATTCCCTCAATCCCGTGGAGGCTGAGGTGTGGGCATGAAGCCTGCAACACCACCTCCTTCTGCAGGCAGAAGTGGCTTTCTTGACCATCCATCTACTTTGATGCTATGGTGCAAATCCAGACTGGGCAAAGCTCAGTTGGAGGCTTCATTCACAAAAGAGGCAAGCAGTCTTGCTGGATAAATACCAGGTCCCTAGCAGATGCGCTTGCCGCTTTCCTTCTCCATGTGTTTGGCACAGCCATAACCGTCAGCAGTATCAGAGCAGGACTGATGAATGCCATGGCAGTTTCAGCCTCCTCTGAACCCACGTTCTTGAAATGGTCTGCTGGAAATTGGCATTTCATTACCCGAATGATCGTTATTATTTATAATGCTGCTTTCTGTCAGGGGTATTGATTGGCTTCAGTGAAGTATGTGAATGGGAAAGGCTAAGAAGTGACCGAGGAAACAATGGTTTGGGATTCTGATGTTTCGTTTCCCTTCTCTGATCTCTCCAGGGTAACACCATTGAATCTGAACACTTGTCCGAACTCACCGAGGAAGAGTATGAAGCCCACTACTTAAAGCGCCAGGACCTCAAAGGATTTATGTGGCTCGATGTTAAATACTTGAATCCTTTCTTCACTAGGCGGCTCACACAAGAGGTGGGTTTGGCCATTGTGCCTCTGAATACCATTTGCTGGGAATTGCAGGTGGGCAGAGTGCTGTTGTGCTCATGTCCACCTTGCAGGCTTTCCACTGGCATCTGGTTGGCAGCTGTAATGCTGAACTAGATGAGCCATTGGCCTGATCCAGCACATTCTTAGGAATCACTTCGCACAGCAATTTCCTGAAGCAGTTTAGAAGAAAAATATGTAGTGATACTGTAAAAACACACACCCAACTTATTAAAAACACTATTAGTGTAAAAACATTCAATCATTGTTTCTTAGGCATCTAGGCAGCACCAAACAAAAACAAACAAACCTATATTTGCTTGGTGCTGAAACAGTGACAGCATTGGTGCCGTTCAGGCCTCCCTGGAGAGAGAAGCTAGGTGTGGGATTCAGGAGAGAAAGGGCATTCCCCAGGCTGAGACAGACCCTGGCAGGGAAACTCCTTCCACCTGCAAAGTTTCTTTATTCTGTGTGAATGTTGCCACTACGCTCCCTTTTTCACAGCGTGGTTGGATGAGCTACAGCAACATTTTGTAGCATACAAAGAAATCTTTCATAATTGATTTAGATTCAGTGCCTGCTTTGTTCAGAACCCACACGTTCAGAAATCGCACTTCTCAGCCACAGGCTGTTCTTCCAACATAGGGAAAGATAGAAATGCTGTCTTAAGCGGTTGCAATGTTCCTTTGCCTTAGGACTTACATCACGGACGCATACAGATGAAAACCCTCACCAACAAATGGTACGAAGAAGTGCGACAAGGGCCCTCCGGTTCTGAAGACGATGAGCAGGAGTTACTGTGACAGGGTCACAATGACACCAAAAATTAGATTTATGACAGTACTTGAGTTTTGCAGAATGTACTCAGTATACAACTTTGTAAGAGAGCCACCTGGAAACTCCTTTCCAAGGAAAAGGTTGCACCATAGTTTGAAACGAAAGACGATCTCTAATGCCAAATGTCTCTGGGAGTTATGTCGAATCCTTGAACAGCAAGCACCATCTACTTTGGAATAATGAGAAAATGGGCTGTACCCATTATGATTTGTTCTGTAAATGTACATTAGAGAGATTTCGTAGGACTGTGTCAAAAAACAACAACCCGTAATGCACTTTATCCTATACTTTGTCAAATACACTGACCCATGGTGGGAATGAATGATGAATAATACTGTGAACTTCTATCAGTGGGGTGAGCAAGTTAAATTATTATTTCAGGTCCATCTTTATATTTGCTCTGTTAGTATATTATGGGCTAGGGGTGCGGAGCAAGAATGGTACCAGAAGACTGTTACGGCGCATGAAGAAAAGCACCTAATTAAAACCTCATTGTCTCTGGTATTTCAGAAGATGTTGAGCTGTTTTCTTATTTCTGAGATTGAAATGGCCTGACCTTCTCCTTTACTTCACCCTCCCTGCAGTTGCGATGTAGAACTTTGCTTGAATTTAATCCCCAGCTCTCTCTCTCTACACAGCAACTTGAGAACATGTGTATTATTCATTCATTTTCTTTCTTACCCGCCCTTTACCATAAGGTCCCAGGGCGGGCTTACAGCAACGTAAAAATGCAGCATCAGTTAAATCAATCTACAATCTGAATAATAGGGTGTATGTATACCTCTGAGGTGTCATAAACCTGGGCAAAGAGTTAGCATATGATGAAAAACATACAGTCAACTTGCCAGACTCGCCTCCCTAGGGAAGGAACTCCACAGCCAGGAGCTGCCACCTCAAATGCCACCCCTTGAACCTACCAGGGCATTGGAACTATGAAGGGAGCTCCATAATGACAAAAGATTAGGCCCCTAATCAGCACTGTTGGCTTGGAGCCGTAGCAAGGCGCAGTTATTGTCATCTGGCATTTCTGAATTGTCCATCCATTGATGGTTTGCAGGTGTAAATTGGTACCTAGGACAGCTGGGGTCTCCAAAGCTAAGTGATGGTCCTTTCCACGGCTGATGCCATGAGCAACCTTAACGGGGCAGGAGAGCTGGGGGGTGGGGAATCACATCTGGCAACCAATGCACCCCTTTGGTATCAGACAGTACATGGGTAGACATTTCAAAAAAGCCTGGTACACAAATTTTCACAGCCCTCTAGTTTCTGTAGTGGCTTATTTACAGGAATTTAGTGTTTACAGGTATTTAGTGTTAACTCAGGTGGTGTGTACTTGATTCTGACTAAACTAAGCCTCCTAGAGCACAATACAGTGGTACCTCGGGTTACATACGCTTCAGGTTACATACACTTCAGGTTACAGACTCCGCTAACCCAGAAATAGTGCTTCAGGTTAAGAACTTTGCTTCAGGATGAGAACAGAAATTGTGGTCTGGTGGCGCGGCAGCAGCAGGAGGCCCCATTAGCTAAAGTGGTGCTTCAGGTTAAGAACAGTTTCAGGTTAAGAACAGACCTCTGGAACGAATGAAGTACTTAACCCGAGGTACCACTGTATATAGCAGGAGCCTTAGTCTAGGTTATTGATCAGGCCTTAACTTCAGTGGCACTACAGCATCAGGTGTTCCCATACCGTTCACGAGCACTATAGAACAGCCTTTGCTCACCTGATCCCCGCCAGGTGTTTTGGACTACAAATCCCATCTGCCCAAGCCAGCACAGGGCTGATGGGAGTTGTAGTCCAAAACATTGGGTGGGCACCAGGTTGACCAAGACTGCTGTAGGAGATTGTATGCTTGATGGCAAGGCAGCCAGGCTCTATCCCACACTGTCCCTGCCGTGACCTATTGTAAGACCTCCACAAGATCTAAGGTATTTTTTTGCAAAAATCCTCCTTATGCTTTACTGATTGGGCTGCCAGAAGCTGGGAATGGAAACTGGAGACAGAACTATACCTAACCTGCTTTTGTTACCCTGCACATTTATGAGCACTGGAGTTTTAAAGCAGAGGTTGGATGTTTCAGCTGAGATTCCTGCATTGCAGAGGGTTGGACTAGATGACCCTCAGGGTCCCTTCAACTCTACAATTCTGATTCTATGAGATCCGCCTTACCCAGCAGAGCTACGTTTCTGATTCTAGAGCTTATTTTACCAGACTGTAAACATCTGGCCCAAACTAAGGAACTTGCTCCAGCTGCCCATCACCAGATGGTTTCATTTCCTTGTTTGTTTATTAAAAGCCCAGCATCAATTAAGCGATATGCCCAAGCCCGTACTATGTAGTGTCTCCATGTTTTTCCAGGAAGTTATTTACCCATGCCATAAAGTTGACCTCAAAGCCCTGGGATGGGCTGGTGCTGCGAGTATCTGCAGGCTCCCTGAAAACAATGTGTTCTGATAGTGTTATATTAGCAGTTGACTTTTTAATATTGCCGGAGGCCTAATGCACAAACAAAAAACCCCAGGAAAACCTCTCTCTGCTCAGACTTTGACCTCTGGCCTCACCCGCCACTGGAATGTTTCCATCTCACCCAAGTTCGCTCTTCCCTGGGCAGGAAAAGGTTCATCACCCGGCACAAAGAGGCAGGCTATTTTGAAATAAGTCTACATTCAGGGCTGGATTAGGAGTTACCTTCTACTTCCTCATTGAAGCCAGTCTGTTTTTTAATCTTGCGCATTACAGTAAAGTCAAGGACGAGTTTACTGGCAAGGCTGCAATGAGCAGCAGAAGGAGATGATGTGAAAGAGTGGTAACTTTCATCACCTACGGGAACATTGTAGGCATCTGTCTCAAGAGACAATGGAGTGCGCCTCGGGGGGTGAAGTCTGCTGTGTTAGCAGCCCTGAAATGACTTTCCCGGGGTGCAATCCTGGGCAGTGTGCATGGAGGTCCTGGAATGCCCAGATGACAAAGACTCCTCTCTTGGCTGACGTGGTCCAAAGGAAAGTAGAGCAATATATTTGGCACCAGCTTGGCTGCAGGAGTTGGCAGGAGACATACAAGGCGCCACCCAACCAATTTAGGGACTCCACGCTGGATTTGTGTAGAGTTTACTCCTTAGCCTTTTCTTCTCCCGAAAATTCCCAACAAGGCAGTGGAGGTTTAAGATCAGTTTTCTTCTCCTAGATGGGCAACTTTCCCAGCTTGATGAGTCCCATCTGCCCCTCACTTCCCTCTACAGCACGTTCAAAATAATAATAATAATAATAATAATAATAATAATAATAATAAACAATAATTAATTTTTTAAAAAAATAAAATTTATTTATACCCCGCCCTCCCCGGCCAGAGCCATGCTCAGGGCGGCTAACACCAATAAAATCACAGTAAAAGCATAATAGGGAAAAAGGGAAGAGAGAAAAAAACCCAATTTAAAATACAAGTTAAAATGCAGTTTAAAATGTAGCCTCATATTAAAAGTAGCCAATAAATCAAGACCATAAGGGGAGGGAAACATAAGCGTCAGACTGAGTCCAAACCAAAGGCCAGGCGGAACAGCTGTCTTGCAGGCCCTGCGGAAAGATGTCAAATCCCGCAGGGCCCTAGTGACAGAGCGTTCCACCAAGTCGGGGCCAGTACTGAAAAGGCCCTGGCCCTAGTTGAGACCAGTCTAACCACCTTGCGACCTGGGACCTCCAAAACGTTGTCATTTGTGGACCTTAAGGTCCTCCGTGGGGCATACCAGGAGAGGCGGGCCCATAGGTACGTGGGTCCTAGGCCTCCTTGACAGTTGGATCCACTATTGGTCTCGTCCGCGGAATCCACTGGAGCCTGTGTTCACATGCAGGGGAAGTCCCTAACTCAACGAGGGCTTGAGACGCATTGGTTACCCTCACCTGGGTTAGCCAGCCAGTTGAAGCTGTTCCCAGGGGGCGGTCACTGACAGTTTCTAGGAGCCACAGGTGAGAGGTGAGTGCAGGGTGGGGACCTAAGGTGGACAAACTACCCCAGAAGCAGCATGATGGTACTACCTCTCCCCGTACACCCCAAGTGGACTGTTAAATCCTATTGCTAAAGCCATAATGCCTTCCATGTGTCTCTTGCCTCTGGATTGACCACTGGGATCAGTTGCTGATCCTCTCAGTGCAGCTTCTGCCAACGTTGCCAAATGTTTTGCCTCCCATTAACTTCTTCTGCTTGTTACAGATGGGTAGCCGTGTTGGTCTGCCATAGTCAAAACAAAGAAAATTCCTTCCAGTAGCACCTTAAAGACCAACTAAGTTAGTTCTTGGTATGAGCTTTCGTGTGCATGCACACTTCTTCAGATACACAGAAACAGAAGTTGCCAGATCCTTCTATATAGTGAGAAGGTGGGGAGGGGTATTACTCAGAGGAGAGACCTGGTCTGAACAAAGACATTGGATTCTTATCTCATTATACATGACAAAGCCATTTTTCACCTTCTCACCCCTTGCTTTTTCCTGTAAGACCTATTGCAGTCGTTCAGAGTCGTCAACAGGCTCATCACAGCTATCTGCCAATCACCCCTTCCCACCACCCTTCTGAGTAATACCCCTCCCCACCTTCTCACTATATAGAAGGATCTGGCAACTTCTGTTTCAGTGTATCTGAAGAAGTGTGCATGCACACGAAAGCTCATACCAAGAACTAACTTAGTTGGTCTTTAAGGTGCTACTGGAAGGAATTTTCTTTGTTTCTTCTGCTTGGTTTAATTTGCACGCTGGAGAACTTTATGACAACGTTGCGTATGTTCTGCTGTTGCTTCCCTACACAGAGATGTGCCATGCCCTTTATGTGCAGAAGACTGCGCACGTGGACTGGCATTATTTCATTGCCAGCGTATAATAGATTGCGATGGCTGCAAACAATAAAAACACACTGCTCCCATTAGGCATTTCCTTCCCTCATCATGGAATAGTACTCTAATCAAATTTAATGAGTCGATGGCTTGCTAGATATGCGAGCCTGTCAAGACGTATTTCCTCCTCTCTGTTCTATGCATTGAAGTTGTTGTTATTGACAGATGAAATGCACCGCCAGGTTATCTGTTCAGAAATCTTAAAAGGCGTCACATGCAACTGATAGTTTCTTGCTCGCGGTACTCTTCTAAAAGCAAAACACCAAATCCTGAGACCTTGTTGCTCCAGCATATAAACCAGCCTATAGCAATCTAGTGATCTTATAACAGGGGTCGGCAACATGCGGCCCATGGACTGGATGCAGCCCACGAAGACCATTTCACCGGCCCACGAACCACCCCTGAACCAAGCTGCCTGCGCGGTGAGTCCCCCACACGCTGCACTAAACCGGCGCAGCACAGTGCAGGGACTTGCCGAGCGGCACTGGAAATTGCATCTGTACATGCGCAGATACCGGAAAATGCTTCTGTGCATGTCCAGATGCTGAAAATCACTTCTGTGCAGGTGCAATTTCCGGCGCCGCGGACATGCGCAGACGCAATTTCTGGCGTCATGCTGTACCAGTCCAGCCCAC